AAATCGCAGCCAAGTATACAATCATCGATTATATCGGCAACAAAAACTATCATACGAACAGAATATTTACCTAAACAAATCTGAACAATAGTCTTAAATTTAATAGGAACACTTTCACCTGTAGGGTATTTCAAAGAATCCTGAATGAGAGGAATGCAAAGGCAATTTTTGTCAACAAATTTTGAATTCAAAATAGAAACATCTGAACCTGAATCAATTTTGAGTATGCAAGTTTTATTATCTACCGTGCCTTCGAATTCAAAAGTTTTAAAATTTCTAAGAACTCTACATACCCGAGGAAAAGGAGTAAATTGAGGGGCTCTTACATCAGTAGTTAAACTGGCTCCCGAAAGTCTAACAATATTCAGTTTTCCTGTTGAGAGTTCGGGCAGTGTGTACGAACGTGGCCTTTTTGTTTACAAGCAAAACATTCAACGTTTTTAAGCCAATCCTTAACGTTGAAATCCTTAGCTTTTCCAGTCGGAGCTTTGAAGTCAGTTTGTTTGTCTGATATATATTGCGGTGAAGTTTGAGATGTTTTAATCTCATTCTTTTGTGAAAATGAAGTCCTATTCTGTTCCCTGATAGTTTTAATTTCTTGTGCTCGAGATAAGGCAATCTTTAATGACGTAATTTTTTCTAACTGAAGTATTTCTTTAATCCCTTTATTAAAAATATCAGTGATGAATTGAGAACAAGCTATTTTATCCTGAACTTCACTAGAACATTCCGAATAAGCTAAAATAGCTAATCTTTCAATATCAGCAGCCAAAGTCGGAAAATCTTCTCCTAGTTTTTGACATCTGGTGTGAAAGAGTGAATAACTAATAGATTCTAAATGTTTGTCCCCGAATCTTTCTTCTAATTTCTGTATCAGTGAATGAAAAGTTATTGTTTCAGATGTCGGATAACTTCTAAGAATAGATCGAGCATCACCACGTAAGCACGAACCTAAAACTACCATCTTTTTATCATCTGTCCAACGATTAGCTTTTGAAATAAGCTGAAACTGACACAAAAATTCGCAAAGTGGTGCTGAACCATCGTATGTATCGACTTTTAGAGTGTAACCTATCCCTAGATCTGTGAGTGGAATCGGTGTATTCGTTGCTGGATATTCTTGCGCGAGGTTGGGTTGAGCATGTGACAAAATACGTGTGTTTGTGAGGTTAGAAGGATAGCGACTTAGCTGGTTGACTTCCTGACGAAGTCGGTTGAACTCTCGACGAAGCTCAGAGAAGTCTGTATTACGCGCGCGCAGCTCTGTTACGAGACTCTGCTCTTGGCTGGCCTGTAGCTGTAGCGCCTTTTCAAGTTCACAGCGTTGAGCTTTTTCAGCATCCAGCTGAGCGCTCAATGTTGTCACTTCTTGAAGAAGATCATCGGACATTGCTCGCGACTCGCTCAACGACAGCAATGCCTCTTGCAGAGCCGAATTAGCGGTCGATGCAACAGCAGGAAGTACAGGGTGCAGTGCAGGAGTATCTGAAGGGCCACTTAAATTCGGAAAAAATAAATTAGTACCTGTATGTTGGGTTATGTCTGTGACATCCGATTGTTGTTCGAAATGTCCTTGTGTATTAGTGGCGATATCAGAGGCAGCAGCTATTGCAGCAGCAACCGAAGCGGCATCAGCAATATTCGTCGTAATTGTATTAGCGCTTGCCGCTGCCTGCGCTCTTGTCCTCGGTGGTGTCCGGTGTGTAGACATAGTTGAGATTCAAACTTAATAGAAGAAACAAATGTCGGATCCCGGACGAGCCCACAAAATGTTATAACCACTACTAATTAATGAAATAAAATACAACGATATGTAAAAGAAACTAAAACTTGTATTATAATCGTTGAAAATAGCGTGTGTATATAATATCAGCTCATGAACACAACTAACTAACTAATAATAATACAGATTACTTAGCAACCAAACAATCACTTAGTAACCAACAAATTGGAACGTATCGAATATACTACAATATCATCTACTAATACTCTGAATGAATTATTCTATGATGTCATGGTGTCCGATAATGCGCCTATTTCATCTTTCCAAATATTCGATTCTAATTTTTGCATTAAAATTTCTTTTTTCTTTAGATCATCCGTAAGCAATACTAAAATTTTTGTGCTTGATATAACTCTTTCAGTTCATGCGTGATTGCATCAATTGTTTCAACTTGCTTATTATTATATCCTTCCACGTCACCTTCGATAGATATAGAACGCTGCTCTTTTGATAAACAAAGCGATTTTCGCCAGTCAACCATGATTTTTGAATATTTAAACGAGCGACTTTTTTCTTTTTTTTCTTTACATTTAAAAATATAAAGAAAAATATTTTTTAATTCAGAAACAATACACGTCTCGCAACAAATTTAAATAGTGAATATTCTATTTGCTCTTCAATGTCTTCGAATTTTTTCTGAACACGCTTAAACAAATATACTATGTCCTTTTGTAGCTTTGCAATATCGCGCTTCCAGTTTTCTATTTCCTCGTTGCAATTGTTTGTTCGATTTTGCGCTATCGCTAATTGGAATTCTAATTCACGAATTTTATTACTTTGTTCCCTTACCGTATAAATCAAAATGTTTATTTTCAATTTTCGTTTATGTTTACACGTCGATTCAACCGTAATACGCTTTGCGCGATGAATTCGGCTGTCGTTTACCCAGTCATATATATATTTTTTTGAAATGCCTATGTTTTCACAAATTAAAATCCTCAGTTCGTTTGCAATCTATCTTGTTTACATATAATCTCCTTCACTGATATATCAACACTTCGCTTAATACGCAAATTAGCCATTACACCGTGCTAGAGTCTGGGTTTTTGTTTTGATACTCGTTTGTTTTTACTCAACTATCTTATACCTTCCAATACGAAAACACGCTTTAAACAATACTAAACGCAATTTTACTACCAAACTAACTTCTTAAGCAATATCAAATTATAAAACGTATCCGGAAAAATAATATTTACAATAATCGTTAATATTCTATCTTAATATAATATTACATCCGCAATGAGCTATGCTTCGGGTCCCTGATCAGCCGCCAATTTGTGACTTATTATTATTGGTCGGGGTTGTCAGAGACCCAAAGTGCTCACGGATTTTATATAATGGACCAGGATAGTAAAATGGACTTCCGTCAAGCAAACGAACAGCCCTGTCGTTTGCATCGAGAATCTCCATGTAACTGTGTGACAGGGTTATAGCGATGTTCGCTAGCCCTGTGTGCGGCACTCTCCTCGCGTGAACGCAGCGACCAAGTGTACCCTATATAGCGACTACATACTTGTGTCGTTGCAGGATATGGAGAGAGGAGCGCGCGACGATCGGCGAGGTGTCGCCGTGAGTGCGAGTGAGAGCGAGAAGAGCGAGAGAGAGAGAGAACGATTTTGACTGATTTTTGACGGCGAGAGAAGTGGGAGCGCGGCGGCGCGAGGCAGAGAAATTAAGAGAGAGGAAGGGCAGTTAGGCGTGAGCTCTCGAGTAATTAGGGCCGCCTAAGGAAAGACTGGTGGAGACAAGATTTTGGCAGGAGAGGAACTACTGCCAGGAGTGCGACGGCCACGTTTGCTAAGAAGCCAGTTGTTCGAAGCAGAGCCAGTACATACAGCGACCATTCGCCGTCTACGAGGCAAAGGCCGTGCTGCGGCCCTTCCTGTAGCAGCTTCCATCTTCGCCAGGGCACCGTTTCCTGCGGGACTACGCTTTCGCCGGCGTCGCCTCTCTGTCGACGGACCGTCGGCATCCGGTGGGTCCAAAGCCAGTTAATCTCTCTCGCGCCAGCTCTCGCTCGATTACAGACATTAGTGTATTTTGAAAATTTATCGCGCACGCTAAGCGATCTCGCTCGCGTGATTCCGCGAACTCTGATCGTAGAAAGGTCGAGCGAGCGCACTCACCGCGGTGAAGTAAATCTTGTAGCGATATTTGTGAAAAGGCGTTAATAAATGAGATCGCCATATGTAGTATAAGTGAATTAAAGCGTCCGATTATTTGTATCAACCTCCCCAACGAGAGCGAACTCCGGCCTGTGAAAGTCAGCGCCGGCTTTCTTTACCGAGAAAGAACCCAGAAAAATTAGCAGAGACCAGCCCAAGGCGCACGGTGGCTGACCCCTCTCGCAACTAAATTAAGGAAATTTTTATGTTTTTTATTATTGTGCTAAAAATACGTATTACCGGTTAAAGTAATGCATCGGAGCACAATATTCTAACTGCCTCCACTTTGGCCCAATCGAATAGGATATTTTCGATTATTTATACATGATTCTTCTCGTTTAACGACGAAGTCTAATCGCACGTTAGCAGAGATCGTCACGTCAATTCGCTGGGATGACCAAAGTGGGAGTACACCACCAAGCTCGTCCGCTCTTATATATACTATCTTCGCGTGCGATTGTTAGGTACATTTTTCCCTAAGCCTATTATAAATCTGTGAACTATGGAGGGTCGTTACTCTCTTAATTCTATATTTGTATTACCGAGTTTGGTTAAGTGTATGTTACAATTTGTCTTTTTGCTTGTTTAAGTACTACTGATGGTATAACTGGTGGAGTTACAGAAATCACAAAAGCTGAGAATAATACAAAGTCTGCTAAACGACAATTAGTAAAATGTAAGAGATATAAGAAAATGATAGAGGTCCTTGCTCTAAACAAAAGCTTCTACCCATATAAAATATACTTTAAACTTTATCTCCGAGCTTATTTTGAATCAGGTTTAAAATAACTTCCAACTAAATTTATTCCACAGAGCCCTCGCAAACTTTGACTCGAAGAAATACGTATAAAGTTCATGAAAAATAACTTACCACATTATCAGCTGGAATTAATCTTCATAACGTAAAAATAAGTACGTAATGCATTATTTATTGGAAAATCAAAAGTAACGTCAGATATGTTGATAGAACATTTTGGATAAAACATGAAGGATTTTAGAACCCTGTATGATTTAATGGCATATCCAAATAAATAAGTAAAAATATGACTTACGTTGTTTTTATCTTCCAGTACTGTCCTCATCCAAGTTTTGGATTCTGGAGTAATAGTTGTCAAACTTTCTAAAAGTATTGATGATGATAAAAAATTATCTGCGTTTTTGAAATTTGAATTGAATCCAGATTCTTCTTCGCAATTAAAATGATTCACACAATTATTGTCTAATTCAGTCTTGCAATTAGTAAATAAATTTTTTTCTGATGGGTTATGATATTCATCCGGTGTTAGTGAAGATTTTCTTGTTTCTGTCAAATCAAACTCATTTACGATTCCTACAAAAATAAATTACAAAATATATTAATTTTTCAAAATCTAATTTCTTAAAATTAATGAAAAATGAAATAAAACAGACTTTCGCTAATTTTTACCGTATTTGAAAGTTTTTGAATTGAACATATTCAATATTATGTTAAATCAGCTATAGTGATTTCGGTAGATTAGAATGTATTGCGTTCAACGATAAATTTATTAACTCTACCGAGATATATGATACTTCGAAACATTTAATTTCAAAATTGTCTCGTTTAACAGCAATGTAAAAAGCTACAGTGGTGCTCAAAATTATAAGGTACTCCTGATTTCGCTTTATTTTATTTAGAACTTTAAGCTTTACAGAGCCTTGGAGGTTTGAATTTTCTAGTAGTTTTTCCCAATATTTTTTTTAATCAAATATGGTGTTTTTCTAAACAGATGTGACGGCTAGCCATAACTTAGTTTTTTTTATATTTAATTATTAAATATGACGAACGGAGTGGGAACCTTCCTGATTTCCCACGATGAAAACGCATTCGAAATATAAACTTTGATAGTGGCCCGAGCCTGCGTACTCAAGCTTACAATCAACGCTCTATCCTGCTTTGTCCCACACGTATGTGTTGACAGGGGCCTACGATCATCGCGTATACATCGTGAAGTGTTATCACGCCGATAATGGAAGGGGACCATAAAAATGCAATCTATCTTTTTTTTTCCCACCGATTTTTAAGAAAATATCCGTAATATTAAATAGATTTTCATCAATTTTGTAAGCCATTATAATGCGCACCTTTTTGTCACCGAATAACCAATAAATAGAACAATAATGTATTTTATAATAAATCGTAAAAGGTTTGAATTTTTCTGAATGTTCATAATAGTCACTATGTATCGTCATAATTAATTAAGTTTAGTACAATTATGTATAAGTAATTATAAGCTATAGCGTTACTCTTGCTCTTAAAAGTGGCACTCCGAGAGCCATCTCTGGAGAAAAGGGCCCAAGTTAAAAAGGGACCGCCCTTTCTCTCTCTGAAAATTCACGCCCACAGACCAATAAAGAAATTCTGGATATGATTAGAAAATTTCCGACCAATACAAAATTTAGCCGTTATCGCTTCATGGGCCTGAGGAAAGGGATTTCCACCCAACCACCCACGGCTTATAAAAAGCTCTGTACAAGGCTGGAGAGGAAGTTAAGTGAAGTTAAGCTCAGTTCAGTCAGTTAAGTTAGAGGAAGTCAAGTTCAGATAGAGTAAGTGCGGAGTGAGCACCAGGAAGTCCGTAATAAGAAGTTTTTACTAGTGAGCGAGTCCCGGAGCAAGCATCAAATCACCCAACTATATTCAGAACATATAGAGAGAGAAAGAGGCCAAAGAGCAGAGAGAGAACGCAACATTAATAATAACTAAATTGATAAAATAAAAGTAAGTAAAATCTTAAACCTGGCTATCCTTTTCTTTCTTTAAGTAATCCGCCTTTCTTTTGGAAATTCATTAAGCGTGAGTCTGGTGAATTTCCATTAAAGTCCCTTAAGAACACATTAAGCGTGAGTCTGGTGTGTTCGTAATAACATTTGGTTATTACATTCCCCGTTAGCATACAGTTTTCTCAACGCAACAATATTGCTCGTCCCGGCTTGTGTGTTACACGATAGCCAAATCAGAGCAACCCTGAGTTTACGCTTGCTCCAAGCGTACCTGAGAGTGACCCCGACGTCACACAGAAAAACGTTAATTCGATGTAGGTTTGATCCACTACAAAATTTTCAGGCTGATTTGAATTTCAAAAGTAATATTTTTTGAAACAATGAAATATCGTCGATTTCGTTGCACTTAAAACATTCTACAAATGTTGTATCAGTATAATTGCGTTAATTAGAAATCTTTCTGATAGATTTGTCGTATTATCATCTGAATTTACTAGTACTAAAAGAAAGTCTGAGAGATGAAGAAATTCCTAGAATTTACTTAGTAGATTGCGAATACTATCATTCGTGATGATATAAATATTTTTTTCTACACTAGCTAAATATTAATTATCTAAGCAAAACAAAAATATGTACTTTTTTGTTAAATATATGAGCAATTAAATCACTTCTTGTAATGGAAGTAAAATGATATCGCTTATGATGAAATTTCTGAAAAATAAAATTAATTTGACGGGGTCTCATTATAGAAAATAAAGCAATATCTATTAATATATTGTTAAAAAATATAGTGTATTGCTTTCTTAGTACAGTTAGGTCAACTATACTTTGCTAAAATTGTTATAAATTTTAACTGCAAATGGATCTGAAAGAATATCATGGAAATTATGAAACAGCTGAATGACATTATACACAGATTTACCTACATTTGATGTTATTCAAATGCTGATACTGTTAGATACTAAAAAACACGCATACAATGGTTATTGGCGACACTGAGTAGGATGAAAATAACGTACATGTTCTCGTTATTCTAGCACTCATTCACATAATCTCACGTCAGATAAATAGAGAAACTGATATTTCTAAAACAACTGTTCTTAAGCTTTTGCGAATCATGAAATATTATCCTTATAATATTATTTTAACGCAGGCTTTAACCATAAATGACATGAACGTACACGCTTCTGTCAATGGGCTATATAAATGATTCAGGTAGATTCATATTTTTTCGATTTGCCCGTTTTCTAATGAAGTTTTAATCAAGAGTGATGGGAACTTGAATTGACATAACAGCAACTACCGACCTGATAAAAATCCACACTGGTACTGATCAGTTAATTACACAGTCCCACAAAAGAAGTCCGCTGACCTTCAGATGAGACCACGTATCTTATACATTTTTTAAATAGCTGATTTAAAATCCAGGTCAGGTTTAAGGGCATTTGAAGGTCACATAGTAAAATAATCGTTGAAAAATCTGAAAACCTATATATACATATTTATGTTTTTGGCATCGTTCGATTTCAATCTAGGCTTCTTTCGATCTCAACACGTCCAGGTCAAGGTCAAACGAAGCCCAAATCAATAAAATCTAATGATATGATATTTTTGACTTCATATCCTGAAAGAGCGGAAAATTGTAAGTCACAATACGTATTAACTTCTTTTCATTACCGATATCTGTAAGACATTAGCGGTCGTTTAAAATAAGACTCTCATTTTCTAGCTTTTGGCCTATGTATTGTGGATTGGAATTCTGGTCCTTTAAACAGTTGATCTTTTATATTTCTTAAGTCTGTAACTATGATGCTCGCGTTCATTTGACACGATCACATCAAAATCAAGGTTAAACAAAGGTCAAAGCCCTCAAATCTAAAGATATAATATTTGTTATCCCCTGATTCTGAAAGAAAAAAAATTTACATCTTAATTTATCGAGATATGTTGATTAAAATGACCTCTAGAAGTTATCTCAAGATCAAATACTTTTGAAATTCTCGACTAATGTATCGACTGTAATTCGGAATTTAGGGTCTCGAGACATTTGATTTTTATGTTTTTGGAGTCACTGATTCCGAATATAGGATGCACTCAATTCCATTTTACAGACTTTGGGTCAGTTGAAGGTCAAATGAAACAGCTGTGACAAAATTCGAAAAAAAATTATATGTATGTTTTTAGTGTCATTGAATTCGAATCCAGGATTTTTTTATCCCTTCGTATCAGAATCAGCGGCAAACAAAGGTAAAAAACATTAATTTCCATTATAAAATCTTTTTTATTATGAATTTTGAAAAACCGGATATATTTCAAGTTTAAAAATCGTTAGCCTCAAGATTGTTCAGTTAAAATCATAGATTTTACCGGAGTGTTTGTATCCAGGACACCTGTCCGTGCACGGTGTGTTTGAATCAAGTTCAACCTCAACATGTGGGCCCTTCATAAATACCATTTTTCCCTTTTAATACATCAAAAGATAATAAATTTTTGATAAAAATTAAAATCATTCACGGAATTATTTTTTAGCACGGCTCATTTGAATATTTTCACGATTAAACATAATTTTATAACATATTCCGTTGTTTTAGCTTCATTTCACAATACTACAATTCCTCTATAATCTCTTAAACTATATAATAAAGCTTTTTGATATCATTAATGCATAAAAAATTTTCAAAATCACAGATAAGAAGTTACCGAACTATTTTGCAATTATGAAAAATCTTTAGGTTTCTTTCTAAGTAAATAATAAATTTCGTTATTGTAAATTTTCGTTTCTGTAAATCAGAGGATATTTGTACTATTATTGTTACGTTTTAATAATTTTATTGATAATTTTTTTTTAATATTATTCTTATATATACTATAACAGGGTGGATTAGCTAGTACAAATTGGGTTTATAAAAGAAAAAACTCCCACGATGCAGAGCGAATCGACGCTCCGCTAAACGCGTATGGTTATACATGTATTAGTCTTTACGTTTGATACTTTCGTTCCAATGTCTCCTTTTCCAACAGAGTTGAACTCACCTTAAGTCACTTGAGTTATTGGGTTATGACATTCGATTTATCTTAGGTGTGAGTGACCTAATGTTTACTCCAACTATCCCCTCGATGAAATACGTTGAAAAAATAACTGGTGACGGATCCGTTATTGTAAACGAAAGCCAAATAACGTAATGTGGCGAAAAAAATAAAGATCGTTTATCATAAAAAAAACTACAGTCTTCGTTGGGCCGAAAGACTTGCGCACGCGTATAGAATTCACAATTTTTACCATAATACGGAGAGAGAGAGAGAGACAGAGAGAGAGACAGAGAGAGAGACAGACAGAGAGACAGAGAGAGAGAGAGAGACAGAGAGAGAGAGAGAGAGAGTGAGAGAGAGAGAGAGAGAGAGAGAGAGAGAGAGAGAGAGAGAGAGAGAGAGAGAGAGAGAGAGAATTCAAAATTCTACCGCGAAAACGAACGCTCGGCGCGAATGTATAAACGGTCGCGATTGACAAAATACTATCGTAAGTATTTTGTCGCGCAGAAAAAGGGAGGTGCACCTACGCTGTGGTGCAATTACGGCGATCAGCCGTAA